AGTTCATTGCTGGGAAGGTGTTCAGGAACCATACCATTGCGGATTATTCCCAGCTGCAGCTCAACTGGAACGCCTTTGCGAAGGAGCCGTTGCCAGACAGGAATTTCACCTTCTGGGAATGGTTCTATGGAATCCTCAAGCTCACGAGGGAGCATTTGAAGAATTTGTGGAACGACGGGTGAGTTTTCGCTCGATGCGCGGCGCTGTTCAAAAAATGATCGTATGAAAAGCCTTCTTTTTTGGGACTGGAGATTAAACAATAACGATGACAAATTGACAAATGCACAGCAACAAAAAATTATCCCCCGTCCTGAACATGTTCGAAAGCTAAGAAAAAACGTCGGAGGAGATGTGAGAGATAATGTTGTAACACGGTCATATACCGTATTTAAGCGAATCTAATCACACCCCGAGATGTTTCATGCAAAAATTTAAAATTCCGTGCACCCTTTTACTTTCGTTGTGTTCTGATTTTCTGGGAACTGAACCCTTCTAACTAAATTTAGATTTTCTCCGAAAAAGGAAAAATAATGTCACAACCCTTTCTCTTCGCCTTCAGTCAACTACTCGTGCATATTTTAAGTGCTGAAAGCTGACCATTTCTTGATTTTTTAAAATGCCAATTCCGAAAGAAAGGAAATAAGTGCTTGATGGTTTTGTGGGCTGCGAACAAGAAGATTTTCTGACACAAGCGCATATTATCGCTAATTGCATGAATATGCGAATATCGGAACCCCTTTAGTTTTGAGTTTATCTAAAGTTAGAAAAAAAAGATTGACATTCGCGTAAATACGGTATTTAAAAACCTTTTCTTGTGGCATGCAAATTTTATCCAGAGGAATCGACTAATTTTGTGTTCTATTTCTGATTTTCACATGGCATGTGTTCATTTTTTTGAGGAGTTTCCCTTTGAAAATGATACAGAATTACTTCCAGTCCGTCGAAAATTAACACTGTTGCACAACTTTAAACCGGAAAAAGACGTCGTTCGGTTATAATCGTTATAGATGAGCCGTTCATGAATCAGGAGTTGCTCATGAATGAATAGAACCAGAAAAAAGTTTTTGTGTAGAATGACTCTGTAGACAATATATTTTGTTGACAATAAAGTTGACAATGAGTCAGCATATACAATACAGTATTGTTTGTCTAGTGACTCATTGGTTTAAGTCGAATTGCATGAAGAAATTTCCCTTTTTGTTTTAAATTTGGAATCCGAATCTTCTGTGACGTACGTTCAACTGGGAAGTGTGAACCCGCGTACAATATTGAAGCGATGTGATAATAAGTTCAATGCTTGAAAATAATTTGTGCTCGAAATACAGGTTGATCATGGGCTTTGTGGGGAAATTGCAAGCGAGCGACATGCTTATGAAGCAGGCTGTTGGCACATTCCTGCTGCGTTATTCCGACTCGGAACTCGGAGGGATTTCCAT